TTATTATTATTATTATTATTATTATTATTATTATTATTATTATTATTTTAGTTTTTTGAGACAGGGTTTCTCTGTGTAACATCCCTGGCTATCCTGGACACACTTTGTAGACCAGGCTGGCCCCAAACTCTCAGTGATCCACCTGCCTCTGCCTCCCGAGTGCTGGGATTAAAGGCGTGCACTGCATTGCCCAGCTTAATTTATTATTTTTTTTAAGACAGAGTCTCATGGTTGGGTGGGTGTAATGGTGCATTTCTCTAATACCAGCAGGCAGGAGAGGAGGCCGAGGCAGACAGATCTCTGTGCTGTGACTTCAAGGGCTGGCCTACACAGAGTGTTCTAGGACAGGTAGGACTGCACGGATCCTGTCTCAAAAACAAAATGACTGGGTCTCACTCACTATGTCATTTTAGGTGGTCTAGAACTCCATGGTGTTCTAGTGACAGTAAAGACCATCACCCAAGTTCTCTGGTCAATTAAGCAAGCCTTATTTTCTGTCTGACAGGGCTATATCTCTAAAGTGGGATTTGAAAAAAAATATCAAAAAATCATTGAACACAGGAGAAGGTAGGGTTTACATAGCCACAAAACTCAAGACTAGGGGATTGTCAAGGGTTGGGAGATTTTCAGAGGAATTTTATTTATGTAAAAACTTGGCTGACCATATCATTCATTCATTCATTCATTTGTGGTTTTTTGAGACAGGGTTTCTCTGTATAGCCTTGGCTATGCTGTATTCACTTTGTAGACCAGGCCAGCCTTGAACTCACAGAGATCCGCCTGCCTCTGCCTCCCTGAGTGCTGGGATTACAGGCATATGCCACCACATCTGGATGACTTGGCTGAACATTTTAACATTTGCCAGAACATCCTATCTCATCAGGGTGGAGTCAGGGTATAGGATATGGAAAATGTCAAATTCCAGAACATGGGTCAGCACCTGGTCAAACCCAAGTTTTATAGAAAACAGGAATAAAGGTATTTGACCTGTAACAAGATGGCTTCTAATCTTATGATGGAGTCAGCCAGGCCAGCCTTGAACTCACATGAGTTCTTGGATCAGGAAGCACACCACTATGCTGGGTTCAAGGATTTTATGTAGCCTATTGTAGAACTTCAGCGAGGAGGGATCTCTTGGCCCCTGCTCCTGTCAGGGAACCAATCTTGTGATGCTCCCTGGGCTCCTGTGTCTACTTCTTGGGTTCATAGCTGCTTTTCAGCCATCATACCCAGTGCATGCTCCTTCCCTGTGGTATGGGTGCTTGGGTTAGGAGAACCTGGCTTTATGCTATGTCCACTGACCCTCACTGCCCTAGCCTGGTTCTGTAGAGCCCAAGTTACTTCTCTTCTAGTCACTTTGTTGTTGCCTCTTCTCATCTGTGGATCTTGGCCAGGGCTGCCACTCTATCTCCTGAGTCTTCTTAGCATTGTTCCTAGGAAAGCAGCTGAAAAGTTGTGCTTGCTCTCTCTCTGTCTCTCTGTCTGTCTGTCTCTTTTCCTAGAAGGAAGGCCAGCCTTTCTTCCTGAGGCAATCAGCCTGGTGAAGTCACGGAATTGCCCTAATGGAATCAATAGGCTACACACCTTTCCCAGAGAGATGAGGGAACTCCTTGCACATATTTGCAGAGTGGAGAAGTGGTGACAGTGCGGAAGACTAGCTTCTCCGGGTTAAAGAAACATTGCAATAGCCAGTGGCGGTGCTGCATGCCCATCATCCCAGTCAGGAATGGTGATGAGTCCCTAGCAGCCCTTTAGCAAGGTTAGTGATGCTTGCCTGACAGCCCAGGAGCTGGGGGTGGTGGCGTGTGCCCACCAGCCCACCATATGGACTTCAGAGGCAGGAAGCTGTTGAGAGTTTGACATGAGGCTGGACTTCACAGTAATTTACATAGCCTGGATTACAGAGTCAGACCCTGTCTCATCCCTTAGTTGATCTCCACCCTCGCCATCACTGCTACCACAAAAACATCAAAGTAAATCATGGCACTTTACTAGTCTCAGGATAAGGATTCAAAGACCACAAGAACCTTTTCCAAAGCTGTACAATGTGTGTTTCACCTGTTTCTATCTTAATTATCTGTTGTGGATGGTGGTAAGTCTGGATGCCCAGCTGTGGGTTAGCTCTGAATTCAGGTGGCCCTATCCAGAACCAACTCCTCTGTTCTCTGTGGATCCACAGGTGAAATTGCAGGAGCCGGGGCAGCCAGCATCATGTCTGCTTTGGCCGACAAGGCCATAGTGAAGAAAGAACTGCTGTGTGATGTGGCCGGGAGGGACAGATACCAGGTCAATAACAAACATGACAACGAATACACTCCACTGCCCATAAACAAGATCATCAAGCAGGCTGAGGAGTTGGTGGGGCAGGAGGTTCTCTACAAGCTGACCAGTGAGAACTGTGAGCACTTTGTGAATGAACTACGTTATGGAGTTGCTCGCAGTGACCAGGTATGTCTTTAGTCCCTGTACCTGACCTTAGGCGCCAGGTCATTTTCCCAACTGCTGGTGGCTAGACATGACTGTGGGTGGACAAGGAGTATAATCCAAATGGCCTATGTCTCAGTTAAAATGACAGAGACTTGCCCATCACCTAGAGGGTCACCCTATCAGGCTCCTGTGGTACCCATGGCTTCCTTGTGGGCAGAGATCCCAGGGCAGCATCAGTCTTTGGCTGCCAGACCCGGAAGATCTGAGCGGCTTTCCTGTGGAGGAGCAACTTGGGGGGGGACTGACCTTACTTTGTCTAGACAAAGTAGGGCAGTCAACTCTCCAGTGTCCTGTTTGTCCACAGTTTGGGCTGGGTCCTGACAGCAGGAAAGGAATATGGGGCAGTTTATTCCAGTGGTTAGTGTTACCACAACACAGGTGGAATTGCTGTGCCTCACCATCTTCTTTGGAAACCTTGGGGTTACTGCTAGTAGCTGGCGCCTGTCTGTCATAGTAAGCTTTTCCCATTAAACATTTTAAATGCTATTGTCAGCAGATCTCTAAAAAGTTAGAGGACCATTATCTATTGAGCATATCTGAAGTAAACAAACTTTGCTTCTTTTTAGTTATTTGTTTTAGGCCTAACCTTGAAATCATATACAGAAGGCTAAATAAAGCTTGTCCCTGAAAACGAATTACGTGTGTACATAGCATGATTACATACATAGTTCTGAGCACACTAAATATGTTGATCATTTATACGATGACTTAATATTAACTTGCATGTCTCAGTTATCCTTAATCATTTATAAGAACTTAGCAGCTTTAATAAGATTAGGATTTAACACTTTATCCCTGTTAGGTTTTAGCCTTAATTATTATAATTTCTGAATTAGAGTTCTCTTAGTATCAAAATAAAACTTAAAGTCATAAATATAGGCCATAGGGAGACTGGGAACTTTAAAACCATAAAACTATAAATATAGCCCATAGAGGGATTGGAAAACTTGTTTTATTTATTTTTTTGATTCTTTTATAGTATACCATTACAGAATATTATATCTTCTTATAAGACTCAATTTATTCAAATAGTTAATTTGAACTATTTGAATGTAGCAAAGACAAAGAGGCTAGACATATCTCTAAGTCAGTTACTGTTAACCCAAGTAGACCTTAGATATTTATGTATTTTATTTATCAAATATATTTACTTATTAAACATACATTGCTTTTATTTAAAAATTTTAGAACAAAAATCATCATATAAAAAATCTATTCTAATCCAAAGTATCCTGGGGACCTGTTGTTTCTTTAGTCTAAAAGGGAGATTGCCAGAGTTGATTTCAAATTTTATATAAACATGCCATGGCGGGTTACGATTACCTATGTATAGATTTCTAATTATCAACTTTTTTTTTGCTACCAGCTTTAAGGTAACACATTTTGTTTGGCACTTTATAGGTTTTTCTCTGTGCGCCCTCCCCCATTTACTCTTGACAGTGGTCTTAACAGATTCTGAGGGAAAGAAACTTAACATATTCACAAGAGTTCTGAATATCCATGACCTTGAAAATAATTTTTGTAAACAAGAACCAAGCAGGGGAGAGAAGTCAGAGAGCTAGACGTCTGTAATTACACTTAGCAGTCCGAATTTTTAATGTAATTTCTTTTTAGAAATTGAAACGAGACATAATAGTAACAAATAAATTTACCATTAGACAATATCTGGAGTCTTTCCTTAGTTCTCTGTAACAGCTTTTCCATTGTTACGTAGATGAATCTCATCCTCATTCCTAGTTTTTAGCCTGTGCACCCTAGTTTCTCCAGCAAACCTGGAGACTTCATGTAATTCTTCTCTAATTGCATACAACCAGCTGGGAGGAGTGACTGGATTCTTAGGTAAAGGTCCAATGATCCTGCTTATCTCCTTCTTTTGGAGTTTTAACAATTCCAGCTGTGATTATTTTAAGCAAGTATATCTAGAGTTATTGTTGGGAGATTTAAAACAGAAGATCTTATTTTATTTTATAACCAGTTCATGTGTGTCTCCGGATGGAGGCAGGCAACCTGAAAAGCTTAATAAAAATTCTTTATTTTGTAAAGTTAGTAAGCCACAGAATAATATAAGGATCTGTAACTGAAAGGAGATTAAACAGAAAACTATAAAAAACAGACATCTGCAGGAGCTGAGAAAATGTTGGTGTCAGTTTGTTTTTGTTTTTTACAGATTTTTGTTTTACAATTTTTTTTTTTTTTTGTTGTTGTTGTTGTTTTGCTTTGTTTCTCTCCCCTCCTCCCAAGACAGGTTTCTCTGGGTAGCTTTGGCTACTCTGGGCTTTCTCTGTAGACCAGACTGGCCTGTGAACTCACGGTGTCCACCTGCTTCCCTGAGTGCAGGGATTAAAGGCATTCGCCACCACACCTGTCTGTTTTACAGATTTTTAACTGTATCCAATAAGTTTACAAATCTTAAAGTACAGAACGTTTGTAATTTAGCTGTTTTTTTTTTTTTTTCTCTCTTTGTCCTAGAGTCAAATGGCTTTCTGACCTATAAAAGAAATTTTGGAGGAAATATTTAAACAACCATGCTTGGGTTGGAAGAGGAAAGGCTCTATCCCAACTCCAGAGCCAGTTTTTTTTTTTTTTTTAACAGAATAGAACAGCATAAAACAAAATTTTGTATTAACCATACCCAAAGGACACCTAATCCCTGAAAAACCAAATCTAGTGATCAGAGGGAGAGACCAGAGCAAACAGAGTACAAAGAAGGCTTAGAGATAAGAAATTCTGAGTGCAGTCCAGCTGCAGCAGTGCATGGAGCCTCAGGCAGTGGAATAGGAGGTTTATGGTGCGCGCCAGGGTTGTATACCAGGGGCGCTGGGTGAGTGGCTGCAGCTAGAGGTCCAAGGTCAGAGACAGAAGTTAGCTGGGAGGGAGATAAAGCAAGTAGGGAAAAAGAGACATTCTGCAGAAGCAGAGCTAGGGAAAGAATTGCAAACAGGAGGGCATAGGGAAGCCCTGATGTGTATCCACGGGGATTAAACAGCAGGCCTCAGAGAGCCCCGAGACTGCAATGAAGGTCAGGTATGGGGATGGACTTTTAAAGGGAAAACACACACACACACACACACACACACACACACACACACACACACACACAC